TTCTTGGGACCCGTATACTTGAAGGATAATCTTTCTCGCACATGCACGCTTGTCCATTTTGATCTGCAGAAGCTGCTCTTTACTTGTAAGTAATCATTCTTTCAGCGGGGCAGCTCCTACACTCTCAAGCTCCCCGCCTATTCATGATTCCTTGAAAGTGCAGAATGACTGGTCTGTTGCAATTGTCACATTGCCATTTCCACAGATCAAAACGGCCAAGTAGGCATATGTGGAGCAAAGGTGGTCCTTCAAGTAAACTGGGCTGAAGAGAAACCAGCAGGAGAACACTTCAATCTCCCAGGACATTCTATACAAGATCTCAAAGTAGTTGTCTTATTACAAAAGAATTTCAGAAATAGACTGGAAAGAGAAGTTGGTGAATTGCAACTTATTTCCAGACTTAAAACCATGGAGAGACCTGGTCTGAATATAGACATTGGATTCTTATCTCATACATGATAAAGCTATTTTTGGCCATCTCATCCCTTGCTTTTTTCCTGTAAGACCAATCGCAGTCGTTAACAGTTGTCAACTGGTTTACCACACCTACCAGCCAATCACCCATTCTCACCACCCTTCTGAGTAATGCCCCTCCCCACCCTCTCACTATATATAAAGGTCTGGTGACCTCTGTTTCAGTGTATCTGAAGAAGTGTGCATGCACACGAAAGCTCATACCAAGAACAAACTTAGTTGGCCTCTAAGGTGTTACTGGAATGATTTATTATTATTATTATTTTTAAAAAATTGTTTGGTCTGAAGAGGTTAAGGGAATAATAATAATAATAATAATAATAATAATAATAATAATAATAATAATTTCATTATTTGTAGCCTATCCATCTGACTGCAAAAGTGCAGGTACATTTAAATGTATGCAATTCTGGTCTCTGCAGCTTCAAAGCCTGCTCTTTGTTTTCTAAGCATGGACTTTCCCATTTTGGGCCTCAATGTACTGAAAAGTAAGGTTTTTTGTGTCGTTCTGAGCTTAAGTACAGAAAATACAGTACACACACACACACACACACACACACTGCTTCCTTTTAGGGAACTTTTGTACTTGCGGGGGCGCAATTAGTGCCAGCACCGTCCGTTAAGAGTTTGGGTGTAATCTTCGACACCTCCCTTTCCATGGCGGCGCAGATTGCAGCTATAACAAAGGCGGCATTTTTTCATCTCCGCCAAGCTAAGCAGTTGGCTCCTTACCTCACTCGCCCTGACCTAGCCACTGTGATCCACGCAACGGTCACCTCTAGACTGGATTATTGTAACTCGCTCTACGTGGGGCTGCCCTTGAGACTGACCCAGAAACTCCAGCGGGTGCAGAATGCCGCAGCGAGACTCCTTACGGGGTCCTCGCCACGGGATCACATTCACCCGGTGGTATACCAGCTGCACTGGCTCCCGGTGGAGTACAGGATCAGGTTTAAGGTGCTGGTTTTAACCTTTAAAGCCCTATATGGCCTAGGACCCTCGTACCTACGGGACCGCCTCTCCTGGTATGTCCCACAGAGGAACTTATGGTCTTCAAACAAAAACATCCTGAAGGTCCCAGGCCACAGAGAGGTTAGGCTGGCCTCAACCAGAGCCAGGGCTTTTTCGGCTATGGCTCCGATCTGGTGGAACGCTCTGTCACAAGAGACTAGGGCCCTGCGGGACTTGACATCTTTCCGCAGGGCCTGCAAGACAGAGCTGTTCCACCAGGCCTTTGGTCAGGGCACAGCCTGACTCCCTCCTTTGGCAATCTTCACAGAACTTTAGCCTAATGGTTGCCATCAATTTGAGTTGAATTAATTTTATAATAAAATGATTTTAGAATTTTGTACTATTTTATTCTTGTTAGCTGCCCTGAGCCCGGCTTCGACTGGGGAGGGCGGGATATAAATAATAATAATAATAATAATAATAATAATAATAATAATAATAATAATTACTTGTCATGGCAGAAGGGGCAAGCTCAAAACAGATGGAAATCCAGACAATAAGGGCTGTGAGAGAAGGGCTATAGCTCAGCGGTGGAGCACCTGCATTATAGGCAGAATATGCCTGGTTCAGTCCCCAGCATCTCCAGTTAGGGCTGGGAGAGTACCCTGTTTGAAACCCTAGAGAGCTGCTGCCAGTCAGTGCAGGCAATACTGAAATAGATGGACCAATGCTCTGATGGAAAATGGTCTCACTTGCTATAACACACCTTCCAGTGTCCCTGTGTGAGGAATGTGCTAAGCAGGGTTTGCTTTCTCTAGCTCAGGGGTCACGGTTTGGAAGATAGCTTGTTTTGCCCAGCAAATCCTGCAAGCGACCCACCTTTGACTTATGGAAGAGAAGAGTTGCGATGGGCAGGAAATATAGTTTGGCAAGGCTGTGTTTTCCTGGTACTGTTGGCTTTGTCCCCAAAGTACTATGAAAAAGATGTAAACTCCATAGCTCAGAAGTAACTAAGATAATATAATAATGAGTTCTGCTTCTTCTTTGTTTTGGAAAAAAATATGCTCTGAAACGGTACATATCTGTACATAAGGCAGAAAACCAGAAAAAGTACCGTATTTTTTGCTCTATGAGACTCACTTTTTCCCTCCTAAAAAGTAAGGGGAAATGTGTGTGCGTCTTATGGAGCGAATGCAGGCTGCGCAGCTATCCCAGAAGCCAGAACAGCAAGAGGGATTGCTGCTTTCACTGCACAGCGATCCCTCTTGCTGTTCTGGCTTCTGAGATTCAGAATATTTTTTTCCTTGTTTTCCTCCTCCAAAAACTAGGAGCGAAAAATACGGTAACTGCCAAGCCCCTCCATCTAACCCTTTAGAGAATATGGGCACACATAGCACACATAGCCACTAGAGGTCCTGCCTTCTCTGTCAAAGATCTCTCTGCAGAGTTTGTTGCTAATTTTGCAATACGTGCAGTTACTCAGCACTCTGTTTTCGGAATGCAAAAGTACGTGTAAGGAAGGCTATGTGCACTTTGTGCTTAAAGACATCGGATGGATTTCTGCATTGAGACAATCTAGGTTCTCTCCCCTACATAAATCATGCCTACTATGGGCAAACATTCAATGCAACTATTGCATAGTTCTGGCTGGCTTTTGTTAGAGGAGTCAATTAGACGTGGCCATGAAACCTTGCTCTTGGCCAAAGCAACTTTTAGTGGATGTTGCCCACACGCTTTCAGCTATAACTTCGGGATTGCTTAGCATTAGTGTATACATCCTGGGTTGACAAAAATTATATTTACAACTAAAGTACAATTCAGATACTGAGAAATATTCTGACAGAATAAAACAACCTGCGAGGGAGTATCTCACCAGTACTTTCACTACCCGCAGCATAAAGTAGTCTTTAAAAGAAAAAATCAAATCACCCCAAATGCTAAAATAAGTTTTTATTGGAGGAAAGAAAGCAGGATGCGAGGAATCCATTGATGTGTGCCTCAGCCGCTCTGGGCAGCGTCCAACACAAATAAAAACATAATAAAACATCAAACGTTAAAAACGATAGAGGCTGCCTTCACAAAGAGAACCGATAGAGAACCTACATAAGGACTCTATTTCTCGGAAAGCTGAATTTTGTTCTCAACACTGCATTCTAAATAGTGGCAGATATGCCGCGAATTTTCCCATATCAAAGCCCATCTGGATTCTCATGTCGTATATACAGAGAAATATAAAGGAAAAAGAACACAGTTTAGTCAAACGGATAGAATTTTCTTACAGTTCTGTTACTCAATGTTTGCAGCAAAGATTACTGCTGTCGCTGCATGTTCCAATCTTCTTTGCGTTACTAGGGCATTCGGCATAGAAGCACACTCCACCATTGGTGTGGCAGTTTTTCTTTGTAGTAATTTGCTCAAGAAGTTCTGTCCAAAACAGTAAATGCTTGAAAAAATGGCCTATCTATCTATCTATCTATCTATTTCACCGATAAATGCATTTTTATGCACTAAGAGGCAGGATAACTTAGTGTGTGATCTGATTATTTGCTTGTTTAAAACGTTTGTTTACCAATTACAGAATTCTTAGTTAATCGTCTTCCGTTTACAGATAAATTTGTATTTAAATGAGTTTAAATAAATTTGCACATTCCCCAAACCTGAAGGACTTAGAACAACTGGCCATTATAAAGAAATTCTGTCCTTGGTATGCCTCCCCCCCCTTCTCAGTTTGATTCCCTGGCACCATATCTGTATAAATTAACTATCCTATTAACTATCCCAAAATACAGACGTGCCTTCACACTGGCCAGATTGGATGTGATGCCCTCTGCCGTACTTGAGGGCAGATACCAAAAGATTCCAACTGAGAAACGACTCTGCCCCTGTGGAGATGGCAATCTGGAAACAGTGGCTCATATTCTCCTGTCCTTTATAAAGATCTGAGGAATAAGATCATCACCCCACTCTTACTTACCATCCCAGGCCGCCCGTCTGAGGCCACATTGTTCTTTCTTTTATCAGATCAAAATGATCAGACAACAGCAAAGGTTGCTAGGTTTATCGAAGGTGCAATGAGATTAAGGGCCACTATCTGAACGATAATCTTGGCCATTTGATTGCCATTTTTACCAATTGCTGTCCTTTTTATTTGTATATATTTTATTTGTATATATTGCTTGTTTTATGTTGCTATGGCCATTGGCTAATGCGAATAAAGTTTATGTATCTATCTATTTCACAGATAAATGCATTTTTATGCACACGAGATTCCAGTATATCCATTTTTTGTATGTGTTTCTCAGCTGGAAAACTGCAATGCAAAATTCAGAGCAGTGTGAATTTCAAAGGATGGCTGTGTTTTGTTCCACACATTGTTCTGATGATGATGATGATGATGATGATGATGATAATAATAATAATAATAATAATAATAATAATAATTTATTATTTATACCCCGCCCATCTGGCTGGGCCTCCCCAGCCACTCTGGGCGGCTTCCATAAAAACCAAAAATACAGTAAAATATCACACGTTAAAAACTTCCCTGAACAGGGCTGATGAGTGCATATTAGGCAGTTTCACCCCTAAATGAGAACAGAACCCCCCTTCTCCCCCTTGCAAATGAGATGCCAAATAAGCCACTTTATGTGATATGTGCAGATTTGCTTCCTTTCTGCAGGCTGCAAGTCTGAGCTGTCCTTGGCACAGAAGAGAAGCGTCTTTGCTAGAACAGCCTGTACATATCCCCCCCATTCATGCAGCCAAAAAGTTATTTATGTTCTGGAGTTCATAGGGACTAGGGTAAGGTGGGCGAAGCAGTCATTTTTACAAAAGGTAGCAAGTGTTTGTTTTTCAGAGATAGGAGACTTCCTTCTCCCTTTATGGAAATCAGCACACACCACTGGTTCATATGCCCAACTGCATTGCTTTTATTAGAAGAAGAAAATGCAAGATTTCTGTTAGACAAGAAGGTGTTGTTCCCTTTTGGGAAGGTTGACTAGCTGACAAGCTCAAATGCACAAGGCTTCTGGGAGTGGCGATGAAGAAAGATCCTGTGTCACAGGAAAATTGCTTCAGGATTCAGAAACGTCCAAATCTTCTCCTGGGTGGATAATTGATGCCTACCCTAAGGGAACAGGTAAACAGGGTGAAGATATTCTGAAATATGAGAGGTTAGGATTCATTCGCCCCCCCACAATATGATAGGCTTGCTGTTCGTGAAGAGGGAGGGAGGCAGCTTACCAAAAGCAGCAGTAGATCTGGGATGGATCCTGAGGGCATGGTCCCCACAACTTTTCCTCCCTGTAACACTCCTTAAGATTTCTGCATACTCCATCTGTACATTTTTTACTCCTGGCCTGGTTTAACCCTGGGGGTGTTTGAAGAAACAAGAGGAACATTGTGATTAAGGGCAGACCTTCCCAATCTGAAACACTATTCCAATATTGTCATGGAATCATAGAGCGGTAGAGTAGAAAGGGGAGCCCCAAGGGTCATCTAGTCCATCTAGTTCAGCCTGGAAACCAGGCCCAATAATAATAATAATAATAATAATAATAATAATAATAATAATAATATATTATTCGTACCTCTCCCATCTGGCTGGGTTTCCCCAGCCACTCTGGGTGGCTTCCAACAAAGATTAAAAATACATTAGAATGACACACATTAAAAACTTCCCTGAACAGGGCTGCCTTCAGATGTCTTCTAAATGTTAGATAGTTGTTTATCTCTTTGACATCTGATGGGAGGGCCCTCTGCCTGGTTCCCTGTAACTTTGCTTCTTGCAATGAGGGAACTTCCTGAAGACCCTCGGCACTGGACCTCAGCGCCTGGGCAGAATGATGGGGGTGGAGATGCTCCTTCAGGTATAGTGCGCCAAGGCCTTTATCTGAGGAAGGGCTGAGTGAGTTGGGTATGTTTAGCCTGGAGAAGATAAGTCTGAGACGCAATACACTGTCCAAATCTCTAAAGGACTGTTCCATGGGAAATGGAGCAAGCTTGTTTTCTCCTGCCCTGGGTGGTAGGACTCAAACCAATGGCTTTAAGTTACAAGAACCAAGTTACTCAAACCACCGGCTTCAAGTTACAAGAAAGGAAACTCTGGCTGAGCATTAGGAAGAACTTTCTGATGGTAAGAGCTGTTCTGCAGTGGAACAGACTCCCTCAGAATGGGTGGACTCCCCTTCAGTGAAGGTTTATAAACAGAGCTTGGATGGCCACCTGTCAGAGATTCTTTACCTGTGGCTTCAGCATAGCTGTGGGCTGGACTTAGATGACTCTTGTGGCTCCTTTCCAACTCTATGAATATATTTCTCGGACTATGCAATTAAAACAGCAAAGAATCCTCACACCCCACTGGGTTGATGTTTCTTGCTCTCCCACCTGTAGGCTGAAGACGGGTGGTCCCCAAACATCTTACCTGGCAATAGAAGGACGATAACAAAAGACAGAAGGAAGGTGGTCTTCATGGCTGAATCTCAGAGCTTCCGGAGCCTCAGTGTTTCCAGAAAATGGGGAAGAGAGGGAATGACGAAGGAGGAGTATTGTGGGAGAACGTCAGGTGGCTTTTGCGTATTCTCTGCTGGGAACAGTAGCATTGAAATCTGAGCATGTGTGTGTGGGGCTGCAACAAAATGTTCCCACTCCTTAAGAGGAGTATTGTTCAGGGCTTCATCCAGGCTAGAACAAGAGAGTTACAGTGTTGCTCAGGCCTTGCTTTCTGTGACATTTCAGCAATTGGTGTGAGTTGTGTGTGTGTGTGCAGTGCTGGATTTACGTATAAGCTTAACAAGCTATAGTTTAGGCCCCCTTGGGCCCCCCCCAAATTTAAAGGGAATAAAACCTGGATGTACATTTCCAAAATGTAAGATACAAAACAAATAAAATAAAACCTACATAAGCAACAGTGCTTATAGAATCATAGAATCATAGAATCATAGAGTTGGAAGAGACCACAAGGGCCATCGAGTCCAACCCCCTGCCAAGCAGGAAACACCATCAGAGCACTCCCAACATATGGTTGTCAAGCCTCTGCTTAAAGACCTCCAAAGAAGGAGACTCCACCACACTCCTTGGCAGCAAATTCCACTGTCGGACAGCTCTTACTGTCAGGAAGTTCTTCCTAATGTTTAGGTGTAATCTTCTTTCTTGTAGTTTGGATCCATTGCTCCATGTCCGCTTCTCTGGAGCAGCAGAAAACAACCTTTCTCCCTCCTCTATATGATATCCTTTTATATATTTGAACATGGCTATCATATCACCCCTTAACCTCCTCTTCTCCAGGTTAAACATGCCCAGCTCCCTTAGCCGTTCCTCATAAGGCATCATTTCCAGGCCTTTGACCATTTTGGTTGCCCTCCTCTGGACACGTTCCAGTTTGTCAGTGTCCTTCTTGAACTGTGGTGCCCAGAACTGGACACAGTACTCCAGGTGAGGTCTGACCAGAGCAGAATACAGTGGCACTATTACTTCCCTTGATCTAGATGCTATACTCCTATTGATGCAGCCCAGAATTGCATTGGCTTTTTTAACTGCCGCGTCACACTGTTGGCTCATGTCAAGTTTGTGGTCAACCAAGACTCCTAGATCCTTTTCACATGTACTGCTCTCAAGCCAGGTGTCACCCATCTTGTATTTGTGCCTCTCATTTTTTTTGCCCAAGTGCAATACTTTACATTTCTCCCTGTTAAAATTCATCTTGTTTGTTTTGGCCCAGTTCTCTAATCTGTCAAGGTCGTTTTGAAGTGTGATCCTGTCCTCTGGGGTGTTAGCCACCCCTCCCAGTTTGGTGTCATCTGCAAATTTGATCAGGATGCCCTTGAGTCCATCATCCAAGTCGTTGATAAAGATGTTGAATAAGACCGGGCCCAAGACAGAACCCTGTGGCACCCCACTAGTCACTCTTCTCCAGGATGAAGAGGAACCATTGATGAGCACCCTTTGGGTTCGGTCAGTCAGCCAGTTACAAATCCACTGAGTGGTAGCATAGTCAAGACCGCATTTTACCAGCTTCTTTACAAGAATATCATGGGGCACCTTGTCAAATGCCTTGCTGAAATCAAGGTAGACTACATCCACTGCGTTCCCTTCATCTACCAGGCTTGTAATTCTGTCAAAAAACGAGATCAGGTTAGTCTGACATGACTTATTTTTCAGAAATCCATGCTGACTATTGGTGATCACAGCATTCCTTTCTAGGTGCTCACAGACTGTTTGCTTAATGATCTGCTCCAGAATCTTCCCTGGTATTGATGTCAGACTGACTGGGCGGTAATTATTTGGGTCCTCTCTTTCCCCCTTTTTGAAAATAGGGACAACATTTGCCCTCCTCCAGTCTGCCGGGACTTCGCCTGTTCTCCAGGAATTCTCAAAGATGACTGCCAGTGGTTCTGAAATCACATCTGCCAGTTCTTTTAATACTCTTGGATGCAGTTCATCTGGCCCTGGAGACTTGAATACATCTAGACTAGCCAAGTATTCTTGTACTATCTCCTTAGTTATTCTGGGCTGTGTTTCCTCCGCTGAATCATTTGCTCCAAATTCTTCAGGTCGGGCATTGTTTTCTTTATTGGAGAAGACTGAGGCAAAGAAGGCATTGAGGAGTTCAGCCCTTTCTGTGTCCCCTGTTTGCATTTCACCATCTTCTCCTCTGAGTGACCCCACTGTTTCTTTGTTCTTCCTTTTGCTACGGACATACCCATAAAAGCCTTTTTTGTTGCTTTTAACCTCTCTAGCAAGCCTGAGTTCATTCTGTGCTTTAGCTTTTCTGACTTTGTATCTACACGTGCTGGCTATTTGTTTGAATTCCTCTTTGGTGGTTTCCCCCCTTTTCCATTTTTTGTACACATCCTTTTTTAATCTTAACTCAGTTAAAAGTTCTTTAGATAGCCACCCTGGCTTCTTTAGGCACCTTCCATGTTTCCGTCTCATTGGTATTGCCTGAAGTTGTGCTTTTACTATCTCCCTCTTAACAAACTCCCAGCCATCATGAACTCCCTTTCCTTTTAGTATTACTGTCCATGGGATCTCACCCAGCACTTCCCTAAGTTTTATGAAGTCGGCTTTCTTAAAGTCGAGAAATTGAGTCTTAGTATGCTTGGCTGCTCCTTTCCGCTGTATAGTAAATTTCAGAAGAGCATGATCACTCGCGCCTAATGATCCTTCCACTTCTACCCCACTAACCAGGTCATCAACATTGGTTAGGACCAGATCTAAAATGGCTGTTCCTCTTGTTGCTTCTCCCACTTTCTGGACAATGAAGTTGTCTGCAAGGCCAGTGAGGAATCTGTTTGACCTTATGCTCTTGGCTGAGTTTGACATCCAACAAATATCCGGATAATTGAAGTCCCCCATTACTACTATCTCCCTTCCTTTTGCATGCTTGGCCATCTGTTCCAGGAAGGGATCGTCTATGTCCTCCGTTTGGCTTGGGGATCTATAGTAAACTCCCACAATGAGGGCTCTGTTATTCTTCTCTCCCTTAATTTTGACCCAAATGCTCTCACTTTGGCTTTGAGGTTCTAAATCTTGGATCTCTTCACAGGTATACACATCCCTGACATATAACGCCACTCCTCCTCCTTTCTTGTCTGGTCTGTTTCTCTGAAATAGATTGTATCCCTCCATTATTACATTCCAATCGTGGGACTTATCCCACCAGGTTTCAGTGATGCCTATTATGTCATATTTAGTTTGCTGTACCAAGAGCTCAAGCTCATCTTGTTTATTTCCCATGCTTTGCGTATTAGTGTACAGACATTGAAGTCCATTAATCATTCCCCCGTGTCTCTTATTTAAGGATTTTTTCCTCTCACCACTAGGTCTGCGTGCTGTTTGCTCCATTTGGTCTATGACATTTGGATGATCATCTTCATCAATTGATAGACTCCTACCTTCAGGAGCACTGTCTCCCTCCCCCGCATTAGTCAGTTTAAAGCCCTCCTGATGAGGTTTCTGAGATTTTTTTGCAAAAACATTCCTCCCAACTGTTGTGAGGTGCAGCTCATCGCTTGCCAGAAGTCCATCTTCAAGAAACTGCATTCCGTGATCTAAGAATCCAAACCGTTCCTGTTTACACCATTTGCGAAGCCAGTTGTTCACTTCCACTATTTTCCCCTCTCTCCCTGGGCCACGTCGTTCAACTGGGAGGACAGATGAGATGACAATTTGTGCATTTAATTGCTTCAATTTCCTGCCCAGAGCCTCGTAATCTCTTTTGATCTTCTGGAGGCCATTGCTTGCAGTGTCATTGGTTCCCACATGAACCAAGAGGAAGGGGTATTTGTCAGTGGGTTTTATGATTCCTTGCAGTCGTTCAGTTACATCTTGGATCTTAGCCCCGGGGAGACAGCACACTTCCTGAGACATCTTGTCAGGCCCACAGATCACTGCTTCTGTTCCCCTCAGTAGGGAATCCCCTATCACCACTACACGCCTCCTCTTAGGTCTGGTCGGGGTTCTTCCGTGAGCTGTCCGTTCCAAGGTCGCCTGCACATTCCCTGAGGGCTGACTTTGCTGCTCATCTTCATATGCCTGATCGACTGTAATGAGGGAGAGATCCTCAAATGGAGTCTGCTCTTCGTCTTCCATGCTAGGGGAGAGGACCTCAAAGCGATTGTGCATTTCTAAACAATCAGAGCGAACCCTGGGCCTCCTACTTCTTTGAGTCACATTTCTCCATATATCTGGCTCCTGTGTTGGTGAACTAGCCTCCTTTTCAGGGGAGTCCCCTGTCTCCTCCTTGGTGGAGACGGTGTGCTCTGTTGCTTCCAAGAAGAGCTCAAGCTCTCTAATTCTTTGGAGCGTAGCTACACGTTCCTCCAGTTGATGGACTTTGTCTTTTAAGAGGGCAATCAACATGCAATTGCTGCAGGTAAAGCTGCCTGCAACCTTTGGCAAGATGGCAAACATTGCGCAGGAACCGCAGGCGACTGCAGCTGTTCCCTCACCCTCCATCTTGAGAACGTGTCGTTGGGGGTGACTACAGCGGTCCTCCATCATAAAAAACGTGAAGACAGGACAAATAATTCCCCCCCAAAAAACCTAGGTCTCCCCCAACAAACGTTTGAGACTAGCTCCCCTAAATCTAAAAGATGGATCGAACTGTGTGCGCCGCTAGGCGCGCGCCGCTGCCCTACAATCTCTGATAAGCTCCTCCCACAGCTAATCACCTACCTCAACAGAAGCCCTGCCCCCTCTGACCTTTGCACAGGGAGAGCAGCTAATCAGCCACAAGAAACTCACACAAGAAAACCCTTTTTGTTCCTTCTTCAGCTGCTGCCCTACAAGCTTTGTGCTTTGTGTTGTGTAGGCTCCTATGATGTAAATAGTGGGCCCTGCCTGTTCGCCTGCTCCCTAAAATATCACTGGTTTGCTCATTTCTATATATAGGGTGCCTACATTCTGCATGGACTGGTTGTATGGCCACATGTACAAATGGCTTTAGATACCTATTAGGTCCATAAATGACCATATAGCATATATTCAACACAAAAAACAGCAACAATTTGTTGTTGACAAAGGACAGCTGACAAAGTGCCCCATTACCTTCAGTAGCTTAGGGTCTCATCAAACCAAATTCCGGCCGTGTGTGCGTGTGTGTGTGGGTGGAGAAAGAAAGAGGTCAGGTACAAAGGACTCTTC